CAGTTTTAAATAAAATTATTTGATCCTTAAAGCCTTTGTGTAATTGTTTCTTTTGATGTGTTCTTACACCACCACGAATGCAAAGAAGAGGATTGACTACTTCAAGCCTGAGAGCAAACACTCCTTCTTTGCTTAGAAATATTTAGAATGGGAGCAAAAAAAAAACCTTTCTCCCTTTAAAATGAATGAGAATTCGCGGCTTAAACCTTTTAGTTAATTGTTGGCCCACTGAGAAAACTAAGACCTTCTGTTGATATCTTTCAAACTTATTTCATAAAATAGCGCTTTCCATTAGTTTGCTGACATGACAAGTCTTTAATGGTGTTGGGAGAACACTAAAATATCTCGTAGATCACCCGCCTTCGGCTCGTAGCTCGAAAGCTTTTTCTTTCATAAATGCCGCTTCCACCCTTTTACCCAGGGAAGCGATCGTCTTGTGTGATTTTAAAGCCGAATTCCCCCGCTAGCAAGTTATAATTATCTCTTGATGTGACAAGTTTTCCCTCGGCATTGTGAATAGCAAAAGAAGCGTTTCTTCCGTTTAACAGGCTCCAAGTTGTAAAACGTTGAAGTTAGTTCTCAGTAGAAGAACTTGAAATTGTCATGGACAGAAGTTGCTAGTGTAGGTGGAAGACACTACTTCATCTTTCAACTGTTGCTAGGAAAAGAAAAGAAATGCGAGGTTTTCTTGTCAGAAAATAGTGCATAGGAGGTGTATACTTTAAACATTAAGGCTCGATCGCTCATTTTTGGGGAGGACTGGGTGTTTTAGGCGATTATCGCTTTTAACTAGAAAGTTGTAGCCATTCCAATCGGAGGGGTCGTTATTGATCGTTTGAACTAGTTTCCATTTAATTATCCCCGTTTGCCCGAGGAATATTTCAGACGAACGAGGCATTGTGGACGGTCAAATGGAAGCTGGAGGCTTATATTTAGTCTGTTTTAAAACCGATTGATCATGTACAGTTGTAGAAAACTGAGTTGTATCTCATTTGTCAATCATTTACGTTGTCACAGGTATTCCAATTTATTATGAAATTTGTGTTGAATCAAAGCTTCTTGTGGACATTTTCAGCTGATGTAAATCAGAGGACTTCTAACATGTATTCAAGCCATATTCAAGATGTTCCTTTTCTTTTTGAAAAGAAGGAGAAAGCAAGTTATGCCCATGTGGACAAACTACGGGTTGGGTTCAAATTTGAAAAATTAAATGAACGTTTGCCTCTTAATAATACCCATAAAACAATTGACAGTATAAATAACTTAACGGCTAGTTTCCAAGGTTTTGCATGAAAATCGTCTGTTATTTACTAAGCCGAAAACACGTGCTTCGAACAATCTTTAGAGAGGTAAATAAGAGAAGTTTTAAGACTTATCATTGTGTCTGTTGAACATGCAGTTATGCTTAGCACACGTGTCTTTTCTATATACGTTAGTGCAACATCGTCTGCGGACTGAAAGGCGTTTGCAACGATTTTCTCCCGCTAGAAAATAAGCAATAGCGAAAAAAAGACTTAAGGTTGTCTACTGTGTAAAATATTGAAAAAACGTATTTCTTTGATAGCATCGAAATAGCACTTTTCCAAATGGCTCTTGAAAAGTATTTTAAGACGTGTATTTTGACACGGTATACGAAAAATAACCGTTAAAAAGAATGTGGTTATAAAGTTTTTATTCCAACTGTGTTTCCTGCCGTTTTCCCTGTTTTTCAATTCGAATGATAATTGGAATATTATTGCCCCCTGTCGAGGAAAGCGTGGTCGCTAGGTTTTTGATTATAATCGCGCTGGAATTTACGCGACCTGGTGATTTTAAACTGATCTCTTTCTAAAAGTTTGTTTATACAACTCCGTAGAGATGCATACCAAGGTGAATAGACATCCTGATTCAACGGCATTCACGTTACATCAAAACTAGCAATTTTGATTCTTCAATAAATGTTCAAGATTGCCTTCACTGTTTAAATAGATTGCGCGCTTGAATAAAACCAGTAATTCTTCCATTTATGTTGTTTTGATCGTCCCATTTTTTAAACGAAATTGCTTTGAAATCAGATCAATGGATGAATGCGCAAAAAATTAACGGTCGTAAAGATCCACCAACTGTTTTACAATAACAATAGAGCATCTAGCGCTTCTGTTTGCGCTTTTTGTACAAAAGGATGAACGACGAACCCCTCGCAGCCCAGCCACTTAAGTGACGCTTCAAAGCACACACGTAACCGAGATCTACACTCGTTAAGTTTTCCGATGCTCAATCTCATTTTGCGCGATGTAGACTATTTAAGTGTGGTACACGCATTTCCCACTCGAGCGGCACACGACGCACGCGCATTTTTCTAACAGAGTTTACTCTGAAAGTATAGGGCCTTGACGGAACACGTGGATTAAACTATGGTGCTCAAGGTCTCACAAAGGGGCCACGGAACTCAAAACTGATCTCTATCAAACTTTAAAAATATGGTTTTGTAGTTTGCCTGCTGTTGGAAATTGAATTTTTCTTTTCTCTAATTTGTGGAAAAACTTTGAGTTTCAAATTTGGACTTTGTGCGCAGTATGAAATCTTAAAATATCGTCGGGCCACGGCAACTGCGGTTTATTATCCACAGCGCACGATTGTCAAGCTCTCATGACTTCTCTCTAATACGTTTTCCACATTAGCTTTTGTGACTGTTATATTTCGCTTAAGTATCCGTTTTTTGAAACCTCACTGCATTTCGATTTTAGTAACATAGCCATTTGGATAATAAATTTAATCCAAAAAAAGAAGTGTGGAATTTTTTTTCATGATTTGTTGCAAATAAATGCACTTGCCCACTGTAGATGGACCCCATAATCTCTTTATCATAATCCGAAAGACTTCGATTTTCAATTTTTCGTCTTCTCTGCACCAAGTGTGTGCATTCATTTGTTGCTCAAACAAATCAGTCTCCGACCTTAAACAACACAAGAGTTTTTATATCTTTTTTCATAAGCGGCTGCCGATAGTGTAACAAGCGGTTGTGCCCGAATAGGTGGCTTAACCCTTTACATCCTAACATCAGTATACGTTTTCTCCATACTGTTCTCTATACATTTCCTATGGTACTGAGAAAGAGAATTTGCTTAACAATCCAGAGCTTCTTTAGTTGGTGATCATTTCCTTTATTCTCACGACCTCAATGTTTGTTTTAGGGCTGATACTGATTGGAGAAATTAGTTACTAATCAATCTTAGGGCTTAAAGGCTTAAGCTGAAAAACAAAGACGAGAGCATGCTCGTAAGTTAAACAGACAGCGGTAAGAGGTGTTATGGCCAGCGGTACACAGATGTAAAATGGTGGCCAGCGGTACACAGATGGTAAATGGTTTGAACCCGGGGGTAACATGTAATAGTGTAGTTTGATCGTCCGGGTGAGTGTAGTCCCGAGAAGGACTGTTATCGGTAATGGTGACTGACGTTTCGACAACCTGAGCGGAAGTCATCAGAGTCAAGTGAAAGGTTGTTGTCAGTCGAATGTACTTAGTCCGGTTTGTGTAAACTGATTGGTCAGTTTTGCCGTGATGTTATTGACCCTGGAAAGCTGGTTTACTAACTTGGAACAGACTCCCCTCAACAGGTGTCAACCTCTACCGGCACCATACAAACGACTCATTCACGACATCAAAATTACAAACGAACCGAACAGAACGACCTAACTTCACTAACGGATCCAAACCGACCAATCACGACTGACCTACACCACTTGAGTCTTACAGCCAATTCTCAGGACTACACTCACCCGGACGATCAAACTACACTATTACAGGTACACAGATCGTCCAACGCAATTTGAAATCGAGTATAGAAAGAAATCTAGAATTCCATTGGGTTTGCTCTCCTTTCCTCTGTGATAGGTACCCTCTACCCTCCAATCAGAGACAAACCTAAAACCAGCCATGACTCGGCAATTGGCACTCTGCTGCCCTTCATGCAAATTTCTTGTTTTACTCAGAGCTCTTACTGGTTCCTTGTGAAATTTTCCTTGTCTCTGAATGGCTGTTGTGATTTACTCTGGTTTTGGTGTCTTGCCGCACAATTGAAAAATGCTCTTTCTACAACACCATGCTCTAAAATATGAATATTCTAAAAATTACTAAAGAGAATTTTTCAGTTTGAGGAGTATTTTATTTATTTCAATGTTTGGGTCCTTGGAACCAATCAAGAGTTTGAATAAAATTACTATAATAGTAGAAAACATCTTTCTGGTCTATTTTTACATACTCAGTTCATCAAATAAAATAAATTTGTTTCATTACAAAGTATAGTCCATTAAAATACATTGACTTAAGCCCTAGAAATCAGAAAGAAAAATCTGTTTATGCTTATGTAACTCCCAGAAGTGATTAGCATGTAACTTCTCCCCATAATATTCATACATTATCCAGCAAAAAGGTAATGAGAATACTCAGACTTATCAGGCAGAAGTTGTCACCAAATTTTCATAACTAATCAGCAAGTAAATGTGTAGCAGCTAGAGGGGAGAATTAACAATCAAATCTTGAGAGTTAAAGGGTTAGAACTATTTCATTGACAAAAATAAATTGGTGAGTTTAAGGGAGGGCTCCCTATTTAAATTTCAAACCTTGGGCATGGCAGAGCTGAAGGAGTCATCCCTTATTTCACCATTCCCCACCCCCCTCCTGATACCAATTTGCCTCCAAGACAGTGTATCAACATTAGAGCTAAATATCAGTGCTGAAAATAAACTGAATCTTTCTTTGACTTTGAGAGCTCTTTGATAAAATACATTAATCATTAACTGAATAAGCTATGCCACCATCTTAAGCCACCTGCCACCCATTTCATTTATTTCTAAGTCTTGATAATAGTGATAGTCTAAAATAAGGCAGTAAGACTAAGAAAATTAACTAGGGTTTGCTTCAATATCAGTTTGAACAAGTTCACATGACAGAAAATCGATGATTCTTTTAATTAGAAATGATCAAGATATCAGGCCTAAGCGGTGACCCCCCCCCTCCCCCCTACCAACAGGCACTTAGCCAAGCATCCATCCTCCATCAATGATATGCTCACAGCCCGTCATGTAAGGCGCCTCATCTGACGCAAGGAAAACAGCAAGTTTTGCAATTTCGTCAGGTCTTCCAAGTCTTCCCTGTTTCTGCCGAGCCAGGAATTTCTTCATGGCTTCTTCAGGATCTGGGGCACTGTTGATTCGCCCTCGCAGTGAAGGAGTATCCACTGTGGCAGGGCAAATAGCATGGGTACGAATTCCCTGCGCGGTGAAGTCAGCTGCTAGTGCTTTGGTGAAGGCGATGACTGCACCCTTTGTTGTGCTGTATACAAAACGATTCGGAACTCCCTTAATGCTTGAAGCTACAGAGGCCATGTTGATAATTACTCCTCCACCGTTTGCGAGCATGACGGGGAGAAATTGCCGCGTCAAACGATACATGCTCTTCACGTTTATATCAAAGGAGAGATCCCAATCTTTCTCCTCACAGTCCAAAATCGACCCATTATGAACAAACCCAGCGCAGTTAAAGAGCACGTCTAACTTGGAGAAATCTTTGACCAGTTCTTTAATCGCATCGTAGTTCGTCACGTCTAAGATCTTGGTTCGTATTCCTTTGACAGAGTTCAGTTCAGCGAGTTTTTGGCCGTTGACGTCGGTGGCTAAAACATTAGCACCCTCCTTGGCAAATTCTTCGGCAACAGCACGACCGATTCCTTGCGCTGCTGCAGTGACAATAATTTCTTTGCCTTGCAGACGACCGTCGGCCATTTTGAGTTTCCGAGTTTGCGTGACTCTTTGGTAGACGTGGAAAACAGGAAACATGTGACTTTTACTTGTGCGCTTATTATTTCCAGCGGACTTTTTGATAAAAAATTTCTTGTGGTGTATTCATCACTTAATGTCTATATTTTTTCCAAGATGGACGCTAGCTTGGAGAAGTTATTGCAAAATGATGGTAAACTCTTTCAACCTGGTTAAACCCTTTATATAATATAGTATGTTGAAAAAGTTTTTGCTCTTCCAGAAACATTCAAGCAATTCTTGGAAGATAATTTTGATGACAGAACATATGCAAACAACATAATTCAAAGTCGTGCCATCAGCGAGTCGCTTGCCAGGTTGGCAGATGGAATAAACCTTCTGGACAAAGAACTTCATGCGCAGGTCTGCTGTTTAATTTTTCACCAAAATTAAAGAGTTACAGTTTGAGAAATATAGCGAATGATTACGTTTTGACGAAAATGTATCGTTGTTTTGTTCAGAACAGCTGATGTGGACAAATATATCTGCATGCATGTATAATCACTATTTTCCTCATAGTTCTAGGCCACATAATTTTTTGTTTGATTTGCGTCAATGAAAATGACGATTTGACTGCAAATTCAAACTAACTTGTCTGTAGCTTTCGTTCAATTTAGGAACGCTTACCTTGTAAAACTTGAGATGACCGTACATTCTTTACGCAGTTTTTGTCACAGATTATGATGATCAGATAATTAATTAACACAGACGATGATAAGAGATGAGGGATATTTTTCGGAAAAGTAGCGTTAGTAAACAGCCCTGAAAAACTGCTTCTGTTCGTCCAGTTTTCCATTTAGAATCGAAATAATGATAATCTTGAAAATTGGGAAATGAAACCTAACGAACTGGTTTTTTTGAGCTGTGATCTTCACTACTGTTAACGTTCCTTAGGGTTATATTTTCTAACATGGCTTCACACCTTTTAACCCTTTGCATGCACCCTAACGTTAGTATGTCTATTCTCCATACTTTTCTCTGTGCATTTCTTATGGTGTTGACAAGGAGAATTTGCTTAACAATCAAGAGCTTCTTTAGTTGGTGATCATTTCCTGTATTCTTGTGACCTTACAGTTTGATTCAGGGGAGATGTTGTGAGGAGAACTTCAATACTTTCCACTCAAAGAGTTTAAGGGTTAAGTTATTTGGACTTAAATAATGCAGGTCTCCAAAAGGGTAAAAGAATTGTTAAGATCGTTTACACCTGCAAATTCACAGTGGTAAATCTTCCTTTTCAGTTGTTGTTAGACTTAATAAGCTTTTTATTATTTTCTAGGTTGTTGAACACCATGAAGATCTTTTGCAACAGGCAACAGGAATTGAAACATTGGAAGGTAAGCAACAGGCATTTTATAATCATTGGTAAATACATTTGTAATAATTTACTTATTCTTAATGTTAGAAGAGTATTATAAGCTCTTTTATTATGCCACATACTAGCAAGCTTTAAAAGAGCTAAAAATGATGCTATAAACAGTGTAACTTGCTTTCTGAATATAGAGACAATTCTATTTTCTTCTTTATCAAACTTTTTTGTAACTAACACTCTTGTTTATGATAAATTTATATAAGAAATTTTTTATCTCATTAGGTGTTCTACAGATGATGCAAACCAGAATAAACTCTTTGAAGGCTTCTGTTGAAAGGCAAGATTTCAGTGCTCTTGTTAATTCTATTCATTGGAAGTAATCAGTTTAGTGAGTTACATGATAATCTTTTTCAGTGATGTATAATCAACTGACTTTTCCACTTTAACCAGGATTCAACAGCATGTTGTCGAACCATATTTTAAGATTCAATCAAGAACAGCTCAACTGCGTCGCCTTCAGGTATTAACCCTTTACACCTTAATATTGTTATACATATTCTCCATACTATTCTCTGTACATTTCCAAAGGTGCTGATGAGGAGAATTTGTTTAACAATCAAGAGTTTCATGAATTGGTGATCATTTCCTTTATTCTCATGACCTTAATGTTTGATTCAGGGGTGATATTGTAAGGAGAAATTAGATGCTTGTCACTTGTAGGGGTTAGAGGGTCAAAATATATAATACAGTTATAGTCATGGTTATTTATCAAAATTTTAAAGTAATGTTTCCCAGAAAACTAAATTACTTTCTTGTTTAATCTGTATCAGGAAGCCTGTGATATCTTGAGAAGAGTTATAAGAGTGCTTTATCTGACCAAACGGCTTCAAGGTCAACTTCAGGGTGGAGCAAGAGAAATCACTAAGGCTGCTCAAAGTCTCAGTGAACTGGGTAAGGAAGTAGAAAAAAAAATGGAATGATTGTGCAGTGTTAATTAATGAAGTTTATCTTTGGATTCTGTGGCTAACAGCATGCTCCATGCCTATTTCAAAGTAGTTTGATCTGTCCGTTAACTTGTGGGAGAAGTATATAAGTACCTTATAACTACCAAAAGCATGGCATTCCAAAAAAATTCCTTCCAAAAAAAACCCCACAATGTGCATCTGATTTTAGTTTTGGTGGTCAATTCATCTTTCAGATTACCTTGTCCAAGGAGCAGACCTTTCTGGAATCCAGGTAACATTTAGCTTTTCACTCCTTAGATCTTAATGCTAGTTTTTTTTTCCTGTCCTGTTTTTAATTTACTGAACACTTTACACCCTAACATCAGTTAACATATTCTCCATACTGTTTTGTACACTTTCTATGGAACTGACAAGGAGAATTTGCATGACTATCAAGAGCATCCTAAAATGGTGATCATTTCTTTTATTCTCATGACTTTAATATGTGATTCTGCAGGGGTACTGTAAGGAGAAATTAGATGTGAGTCAATCTCAAGGATTAAAGGTCTGACAAACATTTTACATTTCAGGCAATAGAAAATGACTTGAAAGTGGCTGCCAAGGCAAGGGTAGAAGTGGAAAATCAAGCACAGAGAATGCTAGCTCAGGGCATGGCAACACAGGTACACTTTTCATAATGAAATTATACCTGGTTATTTAACCCTTTAACTCCAGAAGAGATTAATATAAAACTTCTCTCTACAATATCCATACATTCTTCAGCAAACAGGTAATGAGAATATTCAGAATTATCAGGTAGAAGCTGCTATCTTGATCCAGCACCAAGTTCTCATAACTAATTTACAAGGAAATGTGTAGCAGCTAGAGGGGAGAATTAACAATCAGATCTTGGGACTTAAAGGGTTAAGGGATGACATAGCCAAGTGTATCTCACAAGATTTACTTCTTATTTCTCCTTACTAATTACAGCCATAAATTTCAAAGGCAGTTGGTCAATAGAATAAGGTGCCTCTTGGATAATGTATTGCAGCCGCCTGGTTAGCTCATGTGGATGAGTGCCGGACTACTGTGCAGGAGGTCGGGGTTCAAGACCCAGACCGGACCCACACTCAGGGTCTTAAAATAACTGAGGAGAATGTGCTGCCTTTGCTATGACATCTGCAAGCAGTTAGACATTCTAGTCTTCTCAGATCAGGACAAAAAGCCGTAGGCCCTGTCTCCTGCATCTTCTTGGTACTGGTTAGTAGGGAACGTTAAAGAACCCACACACTTATCGCAAAGAGTAGGGGACGTAGTTCCTGGTGTTGTGGTCTGCCCTAGATTCTGAAATTGGGGGCATCTGCTAAATCTCCTTCAAAAAAAATTGTAAACTGCTTAATGTAGTCTGACCAAAGTCCCCCGCAAACTGTTGTAAAGTGCCATGAGCAAACATGGATATGGCGCTATAGAAATACATCATTCATTCATTCATTCATTGATTGGAATTATCTGGAGAAACGAGTCATTAATCACTTCTACAGGGTTCTAATAGTACCCAGGTAGCAGGTATTAATGACCTGGTTACCCACTTGTTGCCTTGACACATGTCATTTTACTCATAATTTACAAGTAATTGCTTTCAAATTTGTTCATTTTGAAGTGTAGGAATGAAAAATGAGTATAAATTGGAAGAGACCTTAAAATTCAGGAGTATACTACTGCATGAGTCTATAACTTCAGAATTTCAAAGGGTAGCGTGAACCTCCTTTTCAGCAGGAGGTCCTCAAGGCTATAAAAACTCTGACCCAGCATTCTAAATCACCCATTTGTACCATTAAACCACTGGTTCTGGGGATTAAATCGTTAATGATTAAAAATTCTTCCTTTTGCTGTAGAATCAAACCCAAGTAGCAACAGCTTTGCAAGTGTTCTACAACTTGGGCTCGTTAGCCAGCACAGTTAATGAAGTGGTGGACAAGGTGAGGGAAAACCTGACAACCAGTGTTAAAGAAGCCTTGGATCCTAACACTCTCTCACAGATTCAACCTAATGCAGGTAAAGAGAATGAAAAATTGATCCAATTTCTTTTTCCTTAGACTTGTTGTACTTGATTTCTTGTTGAGAAGGTGTCTCCTCTAAAAATGGATTACAATATGACCTCACCAGAATCAATGACTTTACTGTGGACCACTGAACTTAGAGATCATTAAGCTACCCATTCATCTGTACCTTCCATCTTGTTCTAGGAGTTGCTTCCATAAATACCAGTCAGCAGGTTGACAATTAGCTTTTATATCATATAATTTAGGAGCAGGAGGTCCTGGGCGTGCAGCCATTCCTACCCCAGGGAACACAGCAGCTTGGAGAGCCACTCTGTGGACCAGATTGGAGCAACTTATGGACTCTATCTACTCTGCTTGTGGCCAGGTAGAGCTAACTTTACCTGATTAGGGATTTTATTATGGGACCAGTCACCAAATATGATCTACTATTCTGATCTAAAGCCTTATAAGACCTATTATTACAGTGCTAGTCATGCACTAAATAATGTTATTTTTTCACAATCTCGTTTTTCTTAGTTAGTTTCCTCACAAGCTTTTGTTGATTTTGTTGAAAGTGCAATATTTAAAGTTGCTTCACTGTCATGTCCCAGGTTCATCATCTTCAAAAGGTTTTGGCAAAGAAACGAGATCCTGTAACTCATGTTTGTTTTGTGGAGGAATTGTTGAAGGTATTTCATCCAGTCTTGAAATCTGAAAATGTATAAATTTAAAGAAAACTCAACCTGACTCAACTTTACCGTCTCGTTTCCTTTCAGGATGGGAAATCTTGTATCACCTCATTCTGGAATTCAGTTACTTCAATTTTGACGGAAGAATTCGCACAGGCTGCCCAAGGTTAGTTGCTTTCTAGGGTCGTTTTACTCAAACACTGCAAGAATTTTGTGTTATTATGGCAAACAGGAAAAAAAAGCTCTTCAGTTATTGCGTAGGAAAGCGTGGTCTGTTAATACATTATGTAGGAAACTGATTGACGTGTTTAAAACAGATAATGCATTTTATTATGTAAACTGTGATGTTTTACAAGTATTTTCAGCCCTGAGGAAAGCAATAACTGAACACGTGTAAAATTGCGATTTTTTTTAAAGCGTGTTTGATATCGCCAAACAGCTGCTGATACGACATTTGCCGTCAGGTCGTTGAACGAATGGCAAAACGTTTACATTTCTCAATCCAAAGTCGTTTGTCGAATTTTCTTGTCAGCAAAGGCCTATTATGTTTTTATAATAAACAAATTAAAACACGGTAGCCAGCAGATATGGAATTTCTTGTCTCGTGATCAAGCACTATCTCACTCGTTAACCGTGCTCACTCTTGACATATCGAGTTGAACACTCGAAGAGAAATTTTAAATCTACGTGTGCCTATGTATTATTCTCTATTTGAAGTCAATCTTCTTTAATTATTTGTTCGATTCAGCCTCCACTTTTTTGAAGCAAGCATTTGAAGGAGAGTACCCGAAACTACTACGGCTTTACAATGATCTGTGGTCTCGGTTACAGCAATTTAGTGGTGCCTCAAATGCTCCTGCTCCTGGCATTGTTCCTCAAATTGAACCTTCCTTTAGTCTGTTTCCAAGCGCTGAGGACCAGTTTAGTTTGAGGTACGTTAAACATGGTTGATGTAATGTGCAGCACTTAGGAAGCGGCTAGAGTCCCCAAGAAGTGGGAGAAACACTCGACTACATGTACTTCTCCGGCTTTCCCTTACACTTCCTTCGTGCTCTAGCCGCTTCCAGCGTGCTTTACAACAGAACTGAGTACAAAAAGGTATTTTGGTTTTATCAACTGAGTTAAAACGTAAATTGGCCACCGTGAAGAGTTTCAAAGATGACGTTTCGAGCGTTAACCCTTTGTCAAAGCAAATGTGAACAGACCAGAGCCCAGTTGAGGCTTCTTTATTTGTTAAATAGTGCTATATCGTACTTTGTGTTACTTTTGTTGCCGAGATGACACTGAATAGTTAACAATTATTCCATGCACAAAGCATTTTCTAATAACTATCAAGCAACTAGGCTGAATTAAGCACCAACCAATCTATAAATTTTTTTTTTCGCAGGCCAGAGCAAGCCCTGAAGAACAGCCTAGCCCCCTTTGAAATTGCCTACCTGTCGAGATCTTTATCCAGATTACTGGACCCAATTAACCTGGTGTTCCCATCTGGTGCGCGGAACCCTCCTTCCAAGGAAGAGTTAGCCAGTATTGCCAAGACGATTTCAAGGTAAGAAACCATGACTCTTGTGTGGAATACGTTACGTAAGTGTCAGTCAGTGTCTGCGCATTCTTAAATGCACCTTATATTTCCTTAAAAAATACGTAGCGAAAATTGAATGTTAGTCGGAAAGATTTGAAACTAGATTGATTTGTATTTTTCTTATCTCTTGATAAATTATTGTAACTCTTTGCAAAAAGGAAAAAAAATACTAATTGTTTAAAATCATTGAATGCTTTTTCGTATCATTCTAGTGAGCTGAGTGTGGCCAGTGTAGATGTTGGACTCACAATAACTGTAGCCAGAAATGTCGCAAAAACAGTGCAGCTGTACACAGCAAAATGTGAAGAACTGGTGAGAGACTTGGTTTGATATCTATTTCTTTTCAATACAACCTTATATTAGCCTGTGGAGCGCTTTTCTATAGATTGTCGTAGAAAAAAACCAAAGGAGAAAGGACAACACACTGTACCTTAAAGAGAACCTTTAGTAAAAACAACTAAACTGCCTAAAGCGCGGGAAAACGCGGGCAACGAAGTCGCGACTGGTTTTAATTTTGCATCTGGTTGGTCGAGAGAGCGGCTCGAGTTTTCTGGACCAATCACAGAGCGAAGAAAAGAAAAACCAATGCAATCTCTGGTTACTTTCGACACTCAATTACAAATCGTTCTTATTCAGATGTCTTGGCGCTTAGTCACAGATTTTTTACTATAAAATATGAGCGCAGTAACTCAGGTCACTTCTTTCTATTCAAAAAATTGTGGCGAAAAAAGGGGCGACAATTCTGTAACTCTCCTTTTTGAATGTTTTAGGGAGACATCGTGTAATTACTCCAGAAATTGTATAAACAAAAGATTTATAAATCAAATTTATTTATTCTCAATTAATTTAAAATATGTCTAATATTTAATTGAAGTACTTTACACCCGCCTAGGGGGTCAAGTGTTCGTTATCTCATTATTTTCTCTATTTCATATTCTCACTTGTTTTTTTCCCTAACTTATCGCCATTTTCTTTGCCGGATCTATCTTCACACGACCAAGTTTCCGTTTCGTTTCTATGTTCAACTGTATTCGGACGTTCTTTGCTGTCGTAATTATCAGGGAAATTCAGTTCTTCGATGCTTGTGCTTATGGTAGAATTGCAGTAGGACTTTATAGAAGGCCTATCTCTTTCGAACTTGAAATCTCTTCCAAGGTTTGACGATGTTTGATTTTCCACCCCTGCAGTTGAAGAATAATCCTTTGAAAATTTGAAAATCTCTCTCAGTTCTGTGTGCGACTTTGTTGTATTCAGCTGATACGTTCCTGAAGAATCAGTTAGGTTCATTAGTGGCTATGATTAGTTAAAATTTCGCTCACACCCGCTCGTAACGTTTCCTGTAAAGCATTATCCATGAATTAATTTTTCATGCCTTTCGTATGTCGGGTGCCAACGATATGCGATCTAAACTTTGGAAGTAATTTTCATAGCATTATAGTTCAGTAGCTGTAAAACTTACTCCAGAAATTGTATAACTAGATTGATCTTACCAATTCAAAACTACCTCTAAAATGCTCACAGACATACTTGCTAAGGCTTAAAGTTTAGCTCGCAACTTGCTAACTCTGAGGTTTTTCCTTCATTGAATGGGTCAAATACTACCATTCCAAACCTTTCCTAGTTTCTGTGGCGTGTAGCGACCATTCAGAATTGTTACTACAGTACTCCCGGACGGGATGCTAGTCGATCACAGACTTCCCCACCCCTGTCTCTCCTTTTTTTTTAACTTTGGTTTATCAACCCTTACTTACCAAAATGACAACCGCTTCAACCTAATAAGAGGTGGTAAGAATAAGAATCCGCCATTTATGAAGTATTGTCAGAATCTCCGAAGTAATGTGCAAGAGATATATCAAGGTGGTTATAGAGGATTAGAAAGCCCTTCACCACTGACCTGAGATTGAGAAGGAGTGAGTCAGACTAGAGTCAGATGTAAGTTGGACGCCTACACCGCTTGTCTGAAGAAAAGAAACAGTTTAGTCGAGAAGAGTGCTCATGACGAAAATATCGAAAGGGAAGTTTCTTTATATCGTGAAGTTACGTTACATGTAACGCAACGCTGCAGCGGGAAGAACGTAGTGCTATTTCTGCGAGAGATGACTGTGTCATTAGAGAAACAAGTATACGGCGTGACTATGAAGGGAATGATAGCTAAGAGTTTTAAGCTTGTGCAGTCCGTGTCCAGGGTCTCTTTCCTAATGAACCCTTTTCCATTTTCTCATAATCATTTAAGTGTTTTACAATCTTACGTATATTTAGTTTTAGCTGTGGTTGCTCTGTTTCTCGGTTTATGAATTTCTACAGCAAGTATTTTAACCAGTCGACATATTTGCTTTTCTTCGTTGCCCCTGTTCGCTTTAAAACGTAGTCGGTTTGGATGTCAATGTGACTATGAAACACGGAAACACGAACAACGCATTGACACAAACCACGTTCTTCCTGTCCATTGATAAGTGTTTATATCAATGCTTTTACGTATTGCTTGATGTTTACCTACTACAAAACTCTCCCAGATTTCAGTTGGTAGCCAAAATATCCATATTACCCGTGAAATCTACTTTAACCAAAGAGACGCTTATACTGTTTTACTGAGTGCGCCAAATTTCCTTACATCTTACCTCGTTTACATGGTATTACACTTTGGATTTCCTTCGCTGCGCTCAAAACGGAAGTGAAAACACTTGATAACAGCGAGAGGCCTAGGGCCAAGTACATTACACGTACTATCCACATGCCTCGTTCGTAAGGCGAGTCTGGCTCTTTACCTTCATTCGGTACCAGATCCCCGAAGCCAATCGTGCTTAGCGCGACGAAACAATAATAAACGCAGTCTAGGTAAGTCCAGCCGAATTCTCGCTCAGAGTAGTAATACATGATTCCACCAAGAGGAATCCAGAGCGTAATGAGAAGGGTATTTATGGCAAAGCATTTAATATGCTCTTGTGTTGGTAATTCTCGCTCAAACGCAGCCTTTTCGAAGTATTTAATCAGCAGATGAATGCCATAATTGATGTGTTCACCAATGGATTGTAGGGTCAGTAGATTCAATGGAATGCCAAAGAGAGCGAAAAAGATTAGAAACAGTCGACCTTCTTGTGTTTTGGGTGCCAGGTGTCCATATCCTGGAAAAAAAAAGACAAATTGTCTTATTTCCTGATTCTGTTAAATAAAACTACAGCCTTATAGAGTGTGGTCATTTTAATGAAGCTACTGAGCATTAGATAATGTTTATTGTTATCCAACTGCACAAAGTAGAGTATAAATAACGCGCGAATAGAGTACGAATATCCTGCAATATTGTACGGTTATTTGGGAGTTGGTTCTTTTGTACTGTAAAAAAAAAACCTGTTTAACCAGTCTGCTGCGCGCGTTACGTTTCTCTATCCGCTTTTCTTTTCTCTCCTTATGAGAAATGAGCAGAAAGACTTGGAAGAAAAAGAGCAGTTAGACAATAAATAACTTGTTAGACGTTTTGGTGTGTAGTGTCGCTGCGTATTTTTACTCGTTGTTTGTATTTTTACTCGCCCTACAGGCTCGTTAAAATACGGCACAACCCGTAAAAATACTCAGCGATACTACACACCAAAAAGTCTAATGAGATAAATTTATGCTCTGCCAGGTGGTTTCATTATTTCAATTGTGAATGGGACCCTAGAGTGTTGCCATTCTCATAATACATGTAGCTACCAAGCTTCAAATTCGATATTATTTATCATATGTGGTTCTAACTTTTGAGTTCGTGAATGAAACTTTTGACTGAGACCATTCAAATGAAAATTACTGAATAGAACTTTCATGTGATCCTGTTTTATTGGTTTGACCTTAAGTTATCAGTCCATATATTACAACCTACTTTTTGGCCTATTCGTATAAAAGCTACCGTATGGCTCTTCCATATGGTACTGTTTGATATATTTACATGTCAATGTTTTTGTTCTTACGATTTTTCACCCTTTTCACTGTAACATTAATAATCACATTCCCCACACTTTTCTCTTTACCAAAACTATGGCACTGACAAGAAGAAGTTCTTTTGACTTTTAGGGTTTCTTAAATTGGTAATCATTTCCTATAATCTCATGACCGTTACATTTAATTCAAGAGCGATATTGTAAGGAGAAATTAGAAGCCAGTCATCCTCTTGTAAGAGGCGCGGTGGACTCATGGTTAGTGCGCTCGACTCCGGATCGAATGGTCCGGGTTCGAGCTCTGGCCGGGGTCATTGTGTTGTGTTCTTAGGCTAGACACTTTACTTTCACAGTGCTTCTCTTTACCCAGGTGTACAAATGGGTAGCCGCTTCATGCTAAAGGAAACCGGAGTTAAGCGCCGGCCCCACGGGCCACTTGGGCCGGTATAAAGGCTTTACTTTTTTTTTACATCCTCAGGGGTTAAGGAAGTTTTTGTCAATGTTAAATTTACAAAGCTCACTTCTTACCAATTGTAGTTGTTACACTTCCAACGAAGTACAATGACTGATAATAACTCCAGTCGTTGTGACTGTACTTGCATCTGTGCGCCTTTTCAAACAGAAAACGAAGCTCCGCAATATATAGGTCTATGACATCCATGGTTTGGTTAAATCTTTGCGTCATATTCTCCTTTAACTGATCGATTTTCTTTGCAAAGTGGGCACCAGTTGATTGCCCATCGTGCTCTAGTACCGAAAATATCGCCGCACCCGATGTGAGGTACACTATTAACATGGCAACTCGCAGAAAAAGTGTTCTTGTCTTCCTTTTCATTTCCATGTCTGTTCACTTGTTTGGATGAAAGTTGAAGTTTTTGTTGGCGGAAGGTCTCCAGACTGCAGTTTTTCTGCGAAAACATCAAAATGTGGAGAGGGGTTAGATCGCGTCATTATGCAAAAGTCGGGCAAAATTTGGGAATATTTTCGCTAGTGAATGGCTGGTAATCTCTAGCTGAAGGATTTTGCATCTGAATAGAAATAGTAATTTTGTTCAAATATTCTTTTGAGCGACGATCGAGGTTACCTTTTTAACCCAATATGGAACCTTTTGGGCGTCGTGGTGTCTGAAATCCCTGGGCAAAGGGCGAATTCAGACAACTCTCCCTCTCTACAAGCTTTCCTTATGGTAGCTCGACGAGTGTTTTTTGAAAATATGTCGCAACTATTTGAAAAAAACTGCAGCAACACTTAAGCCTGCTGACAACTTAAACTTGGGTAACAATGTCACCGATACGAAGACAATGCTGATGGATTAAGAGAGGGACATTGCAAACCCCAAACCACAAAATTCTGAGCCTTTTTAATGCCATTTGTTTGTGATAATCCTCTATAACGTCGATTTTGTTGCTTTTGTTTTGCATTTTTTTATCTTCATGTGAATTTGGTTCTGGCCTTAGTTATAAAATTCGATTGCAAGTTGAACATTTCAGGCACGCGTTTTAACTTTTGATGTTGTTTTTTTAACTCTTAAACTTTTTCAAGCTTTTCCGCACTCTTCGTTGGCTATCACAAACTTCTCAGAGGAAAATTTGAAGTTCGTATTTTAATTAAAAAAATTTAAAAGATTTAGAAAAGAAAATAATTCCATTTTGAAACCATAACGAGTCTTACTAAAATTTATTTATTATGATAATGGCAACTAAACCAGCTGCGTTGTAACCGCAATGGTAGAAAGTGAAACGTTGCACGAATGTCTAAAAATTCCTTTACGTCTAAAATCACCGAAATGCGCGCAATTTTCGATGTGGAACGTTTGTTTGTTCGGAGATTTAAAAGAGTTATTTTTTTTGTATAACATTGTCTTTCAATTTGCGTTATGTAAATCTTTCTTGATTGCTCAGTTTAATAATTTATATTGGTTACATTTTTTTAACGAAGCGAACTGTTATTTGTTGCAAAATCTCTCTTGTAACTTGACTGGTTCTTCATGACACGAATGGAGACCTGTGTCGTGCTACGAAAGTAACGTTTCTTGCAATGAAACCCCACTAGTACATTTTAAACTGAAATATTAATTTAAAAGAACCGATGCTTGTAGATGTCGTTAGTTAAAATCCGATTCCGTTCCTATTTCTGACTTACGAGTCCAGTCAATTAAAATTATTTAGTAGTTTTTCATCTGGTGTTGTTTCCTTACATCATTTTATCAAGTATAAGTGATTTGTTTTTCCTTCATCATCAAATTTTCATCCATGATGAGATTCAAATAATTTTACACTTGTTTTGTAAGTGGTGTTTGTTTTGCTTTTCAATTTATCCCTAACTTACATGTTTTCGTCGACAATGTTGGCAAATGTCGCCTTTGAAATGAGAATGTAAGTTTTATTACCCATTTCAGGTCTTAAGGGAATTCTTAGCTCTATCTTTGTAAGTTATACGTACACATGCATATGATTAAGTGGAAATTAAAAAAAAAAGAAGCATTTTTCTTGAGTATTATCACTTGAACTGAAATAAGTTAATAAAACATACACGCTTAAGAGATCTATTCTTACAGACAGCTGGGCTAAAAGAGAAACCTCTTGCGAATGTTTTCCTTGTTTATCATCGTGGCCTAAATATATACAACATGTAAGGTTTCCGTGAGACAGAACGCGTCAACTTTGCAAAAGAAGCACATTGAAACAAACCTTTCAAAGCCTTTCTTTGGGAAAATGACTCGTTTTGAGTTTTACGTTTCCCATTTTGTCTTCGTTGTTAGGGTTTTGCTTTGTACTTCGTTCGTTGCCTAAAATCCTCCGTTTTACGTATTTCTTCCTGAGTTGCACCGGTTTTATTTTACACCATTTTTGAGGGTATTGTTTGTCAGCGGCGGTGATTTCTACTTGCGGTTCTTTTATGCTGTTAAGGGTTTTGAAACTCTTTGTCTCATTACAACCGATACTTAATCCGTGCCGTTAATTAAGAGCAAATTTCCCCAAAAGTACGCGTGAAAACAAAAGAAAACATGCTTTAATTAGCAGGTTTTCTAAACGTGTACAAACAAGCTTGAAGTTTCTCAGCCTGCATCACAGCTGATTTCGACGTCATCCATTACTTTGAATTGAAAGATTTGTCGTTAACTTAGGTTTCTCATGACAATCTTAAGGGTCGGAAATATTTTCAAAGGTAGTCTTTCTTAAAACTGAGTTGTATAGGGCTGCAAGGGGTTTCCGTCTTTCCAAGTTAAGCAGGAAATATGAACCTCTTTTAATCTCTGTTTACAGTTTTTTAAACTCTTGTTTACATGCTTAGGTTTTCCCTACCTAATCACTAGCCACACATTTCCCCTCCTCCCCCCACTTTCTTTTTCTAGCGATACGTTTGCTCGTTGTAGCTGCTAATTGCATATTTCCCGCTCTTGGAACTGGATACATATTTTCCCGCCTTTTTCTGGGTCTTTATTGTCCTGCATAAGTTCAAGACACTTAAGCTTCCACCCTTGGTATTGGTTGAATTTTCCTCTCCTTTTTGCTAGTTATGTGATACCTGCTCATGCCGGATTTATACTTGATTTTCCCGGACTTGCACCGGGTTCATGAATCATGATTTTCCCTTCCCGTACCCATGTATTGTCATGGTGATCAGAAGAGTCGTTTAAGAGTCGTTGGTGAACTGCTCTTTTCCCAGTAGAAATTGTTATATTTCATGAAACAATGTTGTGTTTTGGTGACGAAAACTGCGTTTATTTCTCTGTACAGCTCGTCGCGGGGCCCGAAGGAAATCAGTTATATGACCACGTGACTCCAGCTCAGCAAAAGAACGCTGCCATTGTGAACAGTTTGTTTCAATTACACCAAGCCGTGATCAAGGTAACTGTTCAATGAGTCTCGCATTTGATTTCGCGTGAGAGATGAAGCTGCAGTAATTTAAAGCTGTACAACTTCGGACGACAGGGTAATAAAAGGAAAACTACTTTTTCTCTGGTCATCATTATGTATAATATAGTAGAATTACAACACTCTGTTTTCTCGATGTGTTTCTGCCTCCGTTGACTTCTGACTAATTTCAACATTTGTAGTTTAGCGTTTCACCGAGAACTTATTTGATGTTGTTATTAACGTAAACTGTCAAAAATGTCTTCACGGCTGACTAAAATCCTGTTCTTTGCACAATGCCTTCCATTTTATGTACTTTTGTACTTCTCAGATTGTGGATGGTCTGTGGTCTCAGTCCCCTGGTGTTGCTGTGGATGCAATATCTACCGGGTTACAGGTAAGATTTTGCTTGTAGTGAAACCAGTTTGCGTTTTTGAAGTGTCAATTCAACGACAGTCGTTTTACGTAGTGTCTTTGTTTTTTTATATGAATTATATGATTTTCATATATTTACAGTCATTTATTCATCTCTTCACGGGTTTATTTGGAACCAACCTAACGACCAGCAACCATTTGGCTAGTTAGCTTAGTTGGAAGAGCACTATACCAGTATCGCCGAGGTCATGGGTTCTAATCCCGTACAGGCGTGAATTTTTTCCAGGCCTTATTTTCACTACGGCTTAAGTAGTGGTCATTACTGCAAAGATCGCTTCCATATTCGTTTCTTTGTCCGCAGTTCACAAGTATGATTTTCATCTTCACAGTCATTTGTCTTTGTTTTTTTTGACAGTAAACCACTGTAAAATGTCTCGGCGTCTTTTCAATCAGTCAACGTCTAAATTTCTTTTTGCTGGTTATCTCCAAGATGGCTCAAGACTCTGACAGCAATAGATTATATGATAATTTAATCTGATTATTCCACAGGTATTGCAGGGTACTAAGTTTTTGACCTGTAAATTTCCACTTTGAGACAAATCACACAGCTTAGAGAGGCAGAACAAATTCGTTAGATTGAAAATTTCTTGAAAACTAATTTTCTCAATCGATGTTAACACATTTCTTTGTTAGCTATTGTTAAAATTAATTTATCTCGGTGATGATCATTTCCTCAATTCTCTTTACCCGCTTTTATGACATTGTTGGGAAATTGTAAGGAGAATTTTAGTACTAATCACTCCTGAATGCAAAAATTTTTCTTCTTCCATCTTAAACCGGCGCTAACTTTGCTAATGCAAACTGCATTCATTGGAAGTTTGCTAGTAATTGATATCTTCTTTTTCAACTCTAAAAATAAAAGTCGATTCTATTTCGTTAATTGGTAATCCGATATCTTTCATCCTTTCTTAAAAAGCCAGTTTATCGCCGGCCGCTTTGAAAAATTATATTATAGTTATAATCAAGCACTTTCGTGCATTTTTATTTTTATATCTTTGTGGTATCATATCTGATAATCTCTTGTCAAAATTCTTTTCTTTTTCTTTTTTACCACAGATCAATTAGTCTCGTAAATTTCCGATTATTTTATGACGACCGGAACTTTGATCAAACAAACATTTTATAATTGATCTTCTGCTGTAACTCAAATTTGATCTATTGGTTTCTTTGCCCATTGATGCTTTTTTGTTGTTTTTATATTCAATTCGGTAATAATTTTGCGGGGAAAATTGTCACGATATTTTGGTAAAACTCAAACCCAAGATTTTCTTCCGTGCTATTGGAAATAAAGTTCATAAAGATGACCTAGTCCACTGGACTGGGGCTTCCGTGTAAGAAAAAGGTTTTAAAAAGGCAAGAAATATGCGCAGCTGGCGTGGAATCGGAGTCCTTTAGTGAAAAAGAGTACAAGTGTTGAATTATATTCGTGTTTTGAGTATTCTTTTTGAGTAGTTAACTTATTCGGTTTGATGCGGCAGAGGTTCCAAGTTTTTGTCGATCATCTTTTGAGACTTCAACCACCCACATTTTGGTTGCTTGGGATAGTTTTTTGTGTCTATATGCAATTTCGAGGTTTTTCCTGATATTGTGCCTTTCTTGTGCCTTAGAATAAATAATTCCTCCTATTTACATATAACCAGTGGGTATGAATTGACATGGATATCCGGATGACGCAAAAAAACAGACAACGAAGCCGATATACGGCCAAACAAACAAAAAATCAGAAAACTTACAGGAACTCTATGGTCACGAACGCGGTTATATGAAACAAAAGCGAGTTTTCGGTGACTTTTGAACTCGAGAGGGTCATATGTGACTTACGCACGCAGAATAAACATGTTTACTATGTCCTGCTGGGATGTGAGAAATTGCACTTGTGAATGAAAGAAGTAAGGAGAGCTGCTGTCATTCCTAGATAGACTTTGACAGCATGGATCGCTGAAAGCGGTCGAAAATTACATTATTTTCGAGTTTCGCAAATAAACAACTGAGGCAATGGACCCTTAACACTGAGAGAAGGATGCAAGCAATTATGAATGGACGAGAAAGTCTTTTAACGGATATTCCCGTAAACAGACAGCTATATTTACCACAAATTTTCTTCCTACGTAACCTTTTAAGCCGCCTTTTACAACTTCACCTGTTCTTCTATGAGGCTACAAGCAAAACTTCTTTTTGTTCTATAGCGTAAAACGAGTGGTACTGTGATAGTGTGTGATGTTCTTGACGCCGTTTTTAACGGATAATTACCACCTCATTTTGTTATTCACCCTAGTTAATTTATTTATAAAAAGAAACCTTCTCTATAGTACGTTTTACTGTTATTGTAATTTTTGTTTTCTGCTCGATATCGTTGCTTAAGATGTTGGCTGTTGTCAAAACTCGGTTAATAAGACTCCACCGTTCAGGTTGAGTTTTTTCGTATGTGGCTTCAAACAATTACAAGTTTCCAGAAAATTTCTCGTAATTGATTGTATTTGTTATTCTTCATACTATCCCGCACATTGATTTGTCAAGATTTAAGGGAGAAATGATATTTTGAGATTGAGGTATTTCCTAAACAGTTGTTCTCCCAGGAAACCGTCCGCCATACGCAAGAATGCGTGGGTTGTGAATTGGGCATGCGCATATGCGCATATTTTTTCGAAGTCGGAACAATTTTTGATAGAGACCACAATAAAACGATAGAGTTGGCCTGTTTCTTCTACACTAATTATTCTAATCCCAATTGAGATTTTTTTCGCCTAATGTTTATTTTTCTCTAGCTTCCAAAAATCTTGCATGTTTGACATTCTGACTTTTACTGACTCGATTTTCTTTTAATCGTGCAAGAAAGCTTTATTGTGAATTTTTGCATATGTGTTGAGCTCGCAAGGCGAGTCGTATTTTCGCGTACATAGTGAAAGCACTTTTGTGTGGTGAACAAAAGTCGATTTCCAAACTTGTCATTTGGTGCGAGGCTGTGAGCAAATCGTAAACATTACCTATTGTGTCTGATTCTCAGCTGTGCATATGTACTCCGGCAGTTTTGTTCATCTGTGGAGGACAAATTAAGATGAAATGCGCTTTCTAATTGAATTGCTCGCGGATGTTGCAAATGTCATTTCGTATGTTGTGTTTTTTTCGGAAGTGACAAATATTAAATGCTCACGAGAAGATTGAGTGGTCGCGCTTCCGCTGAAATTATCCTACTCAAACTACTCGGTATTATTTTAATGCATCCGATTTTATATTCCCACCACAAAATGCTCACAACTGAAAATATTCTAGACCCAAAGTTTAGTTTAAAATGGATAAGGAGAGGGAAATTTTCAAGGCATTTCTTGTAAATATGCGTAGGTTTTCGTTTGATTTTGTTGTACCCGTGCTCATACACACGCGGAAGATTACAACGCGTGCGATAGTTGTATCAATGAAGTGTTAAATCATTTTTTTTGCTAGAAAATAGCCCTTTAATCGAGATATATTGGGGCATGAAGTTTTTTTAGGTTTCTTTGTTCGCGCTGAAATAGCGAGGGCCGTTTTTTTGACGCAGATACGTAACACTTACGTTTTTTTCGAATAGAAATTATATGAGTGATACGGCAGATTTTCGAATCTCCATCATGGGCCATTCGCATTCAGATTTTTACGTTTATCGTCAACAATATGGTGGTAAATAACCATTAGATGTTGAGGAACAGTATAAACTTTATAAAACAACCATTTTTGTTTTCGTTTCCAAACTTTGTAGTCTAGAAATTTTTCCTGGTACAAGAGAGGAAAGTTTGCTTATTCGAACATGTTCGATCAATTATTTTTAACTTCAGCACCATCTAGTCTCCGTTAATTGCTCCTAGCTTAGGCGTTGAAAAGGAATGAAAAGATTTAACTTTTTGTTGCTCCTTTGATCGTTGAATAAATCCCCTTTCTTTTCATTTGACTTTTGGTTTAAATAATTTCTGATCTTAATTTCTGAATTTTATCTTGATTTTAATTTGCGTCGGGCAACAACACTCATTGAGCTACACTTCTCAGAAGCGTAGTACATCATTTTTTTTGCTGTTCTCTCCGGCGCCCGGTCTCAGAGTTATGACTTTTTGATCATATATTTATTTGGGTACTAACCTTTTTTTTCCGTGGCTGCGTTGCGTGTGATGTTAAGATGACTTCAAAGTAATACTAGTGAAGCCACAGAACTCATCAAGTCTTTTTAAAACTCATATCTCATCCAACACGAGGTATTATTTTATTCCATCGCCTTTTGTCCAATGGTATAAATTTTCTCTTGTATCCTGTAGTTAACGATAAAAAAAACAGAAAGTTACGCACGAACTTCAATCTACTACGGGTTTTCTTCGTCGTTGCAAAGCGATTTTGTAGATTAATAAACTTGCATAGACAAGTTGTTCCTCCAGGCAGTTTTCGATGTTATGATTTTCGGTTTTGTTTACTGGCCTGTTGTCTCGTTTAAATAATTCTTCTCTCTTTCTTGGCTTTCCTAATGTTATCTTCTTCTACGGTAATTCATGGATGTCATGAAAATTCCGTGTACTTTGAATTGCAAATGAACTGTCTTCGTCAAACAATTAATCTCAATTCAACTGGTTTGTTTTCAGGGGAATACCATTTTGTTGATGAAGCGACTCTTGCTCTGCGATTCAATCATTGGCTTACACAAAACACATTTCTAATTAAAATTTGGAATTTACTACTCACACGAAAGCGCGGACAAACGGGCCTCTATTTTCATTTGTCAAGGAAAGAAAAGGTTCTTATCAGTACACAGGAGACACGAGAATGTTTAAATGATTCCAAATGTCTCTTTTCAAAGTAAAGGCGATTCGATAGATTAATGGTCCATTTCTTGCTGGACAGAGTGTCAGTGCAAGTTTAATTTAGTTAGAATGTTCAATTCATCGCGTTCTCTGACCTCAATTAGTTTTTATCACTTCCACGCGAGTAAATTAAAAATTTCTCGTCAATTTTTCTTAAATTACGATTTAATTTGTGGTAATTCAACCAGGCGAACTCTTGGATTTCAGTGAATGCGATTTGCATGTTTCTACGCCAATATGAGCCTTTTTTACGCTTTTTAAAGCTGTCTTGGCCATACGACAAGAATTGAACTTGGCCGATGGTTTTGGAAACGCATTCAAATTGTTTACAACCTTTTTACGTCTTATGTTATCAATGACTTCTTAATTTCTCCGAGATTCCCCTGGTGAAAGCTAATCAATTGCAAATCTTACGGACAGAGATTCTGTCGTAACGTGAACTAATTTTCCATAAAATTGTAATCGATCAGCGAAATTGACCACCTATTTGATCATTTGACGTCTAGATCCGCATCAATACCAGCTGTTTGAACGCAAAATGGCGGTTAATTAACTTCAATTTGATACTAAACCAAGCGGTTTTACATGCCCCCGACTCGATGAAAACAATGTCTTAAGACGCAAATTACCTTGGCCTGTGTGATGTTCAGTTTTGCGGAAAGGCACACATCGTGAGCGAGCGCTTTTCGTGCTGAGTTGCCAACGTTAATTTACTAATTATAAATGCCCCCCCCCCTCCCCCCCTTATACATTGATAAAGATCGCTTACTCTATCTCAATACACAATGGTAATGAGCTGAAATCTATCCTTATTTACAGATACCTGGGCGGAATACTCAATTTCCATACGTAGTTCGTGTGCGTTCGCGAACGTGATTTTTTTGCTTGAGTTGAAAATGAAGAAAAAAACTTGTTATGCTTTATTGTGTGCTAAACCTTACAAATATGTAATGCTAACATACTAATGACATGATGAATTTACAGACTTATCCGACTATGTTCCGAAAATTAGCCGAGGGTCGACTGAATGTTTCACGACACTTCATATTCTCGACTAAGATTAAATTGGAGAAAGATGTTTTTTCGTCTTGTCACGAGCGTGGGACAAAGAAAAATTCTGAGTCCCCACGAGGAAATGGACCTCAGACCTTCGGATTCCGCGCTCCGAAGGTCGGGGGTTCGACTCCTCACGGGGACTCAGAATTTTTTCTTTGTCCCACGCTCGTGATAAAACGTAAAAACCTCTTTCCTTATTTCTTTACCTAGCTCAAAACTTACCATCTCTCTTATTTCTATATACAAAGATTAAATTACGTTCGACACCATAGTGTATTGGGACAGCGGTTTCATATTCACCATGGGAACGGGAATTAGGTGTTGTGGGAATAAAGCTTTTTCGATGTGACGTGATGTGCTGTGGTTGCTTTTAGACACCACAATACCTAACAAACCCAAGTTTTGTCTTACGAAGGTGTTTTTTTTTTTGTTTTACTCTTCCGTTAGACAAACAAAGAAACAGACTAACCAACAACAGACACGCCATCAGCTGATATACATGTTTCAGAGCAATGTCAGTATCTAAGCAACTGCGCACCTACCCCTCCTTTAACCTAACAGCAGTCAACTGATAATAAGTGAGATTTTATGTTTGGTAAGGGGAGGGGTAGGTATGCAGTTGCTCAGATACTGACATTGAACCCGTATTTCCCTGTTCTTCCGTTCTGGACAATGTCGTATCTTTGTCAGTGATGAGATTTGTTTTGAATTAATGAGAGCTGATAGGCTGTTTTTCTCCTTGGCCTTAAAGTTGATTATTTTTGCCTCAGGGAATTCTAGCGCTGATTAATTCGGCTTTGGATCCACTGCTTGATGCAATCAGCCGTGATTTGGAAAACCATATATTCAAGATGCATTCCGAAGATTTCACAAGGTGAGTCCATGCACTTCCTAGAAGCTGGGAAGTTTACGACGTTCAAACTTCATCGTTTCTCGCACTTAGGAAGACAACATGCTGCGATTATAGTCATTAAAAATTAGTCTAGTAAGAATTGCGACTTTCGTAGAAATTTTAATTTTAAGTGTACAAGGAAAACATTTTATATTTTTCCAACTATTGTGATATATTTAAGGTTTTGCGTCGACTGAGAGAAATTGGTCTTTTTTTTAAAACAAATAACTGCTATTATATTTTTGATTGAAGTTCCACCTTGTCGCGTGACATTGCTGATAACCCGGATGCGCCATGTTCTGGTTACATTCAAGACTTGCAGGTATGGGCTGAGGATTACCTTTGTTAACTTTGTTGACCTTCTTTGAACCTTTTATCTTCTTACTTAGAGGAGGGGATCCTACGTGTTGTGTCTTTCAGGATTTTATTATACACGTTCAAAAGAACTACATTGCACTTTATGAGTGCAGAGAAATTCTCTCGCAAAGGTAAGCAACACGCAACCCTTTTTTGATTCAATTATGTGCACCAAAATTTGTCGACTGAGTCGAATCTGTGATCATCTTAGCCGAAAGGAGAATAAAAAGGGGGGGTGTGAAATCAGAGATTGTGCCATTCGTCACGGCTGCGTCGCTATAACCACTTGACTTCCAGAAATGATCTTCTCCTTAAAGTATTAGTACGCTTTGCAATAAGCAAATGATGAGGGTAGTGATACGTATTAGCCAGAAGGAGGCGGCTTGATATGGCATCAAATTCTCTTCGTTAATATATAAAGAAATGTCTCGTAGTCATCGTTGGATTAAATACAACGCTACGCAGGCTGCTTGAGTTCATAAGCTCTCAACAACACTGTTTCCATGGTAACCGCACATCTATTTTTACAGTTCAACATGCTTCTTGCTTTTATTTGTTGAATCCTTCCGCTTTTTAGGTTGGAAGAGATCGTGTGTCGAACTATTGAGCTGTTTGTTCGTCACGCCAGTCTACTTAGAGCCATTGGCGAGGGAGGAAAACTGAAGCTTGCTGCTGACATGGCTCAGGTATGCTGTTTTCACAGTTTCATTACTTAACCAAGGATTCAGGATGGGATTTTTGTTTAGTCTTGCTGTTGTTGAGGCGAATAACTGCCCGTGTTGACCCAGGTTTCCGTGGTAACTTTCCCCATTGACACACCTGCATTCCCAACCACATTTACTAGGTAACTTACTATATTTGTTGTTGTTTTTGTTTTTGTCTAGATTGAGTTTGCTGTTGGTCCATTATGCCACAAAGTGTCAGATTTAGGAAAGTCCTACAAACTTTTGAGATCTTTTAGGTGAGATGCGCGTAATTGTACGTTCTCCATCACCCGTGTTTGCTAGACGGAAGGATATAACAGTGCACCGACAGGTAGACAGACGGACGGACCAACGTACATGGACAGACGTACCAACGAACATGTAGTAAGACATTCAGACGGACGGACAACTAGACAGACAGGCACGCGGCCAGGCGGAAGGATAGAGATTCACGGACGAAATTGACAAAGAGACAGATAGATTATTCAGCAGTGAGACGAAAAAGGCGGACTAACAAAGAGAGAAACACAGACAGGAAGACTAAAAGGCGGTCAGACAAACTGATGCAGAGTTCTACGAACGGACGTTCGTGCGGACAGACGGACGGATAGACAGACCGACGGACAAAAGTACGGACATACGAACGGACAGACGGACGGTCAGATAGATAAAGAAACATTTATTCGATGGATGCTGTCAAGTACACAGCTGCATCTTCCAAAAGTGTTAAAATCATTTCTTTTTTCCAGACCTCTATTATTTCAAACCTCTGAAGATATTGTAAATAATCCGGCCCTTGGAGAAAGTCTTCCTCACAGTGTGGTATTGCATCATTTGTTTTCACGCGCTCCAAACGAACTTAAATCTCCTCACGAGGTACGTACCTTCATTTTCCAGCCCTACGGGCTTTCTTTTACACAGACATCCTTTGAAGTTTCTTCTTTATTAGGGTTTATCTCTAAGGGTGCGAAATTGATATCAGAGGGAACGAACTAAATATAAATAAAGATCATTTTGAATTAAGAAACGACCGTTTTATTGCTACGGTTAGAAATTATCAGCCTTAAGACCCTAGTACTTCTGGAGGTGACTGACATGTAACTTCTTCTTATAATATCCATACACTGTCCAGCAATCTGAGAGGTTGAAGTGATCTTGATCTAGCAACAAATTCTCGTAACCAACTTACAAGGAAATGTGTAACAGCTACAGGGGAGAATTAACATTAAGATCTTAGGGTTTAAAGGGTTAATAGTAAAAGACTGCCACTAAAAAAATATGGTTTAGCCCTGTTATCCACTTGTGCGCAATCAAGCCCTCCATCAACTTAACTCAAGATTCTTTAAAAATTGTTGGGCCCACGGTTTAAATCATCATGTAAATCGACTTCAGTGTTGCTGATACAGAAATTTTGAATCCAGTTTTGAAAGAGATCCTGGAAACTCGCGCCCCCTTGAAAGAATTCTTAAACTTATTGTGACTCGCGCGTTCTCTCGCGCGTCGAGCGGTTTGCGTGTCTCTACATAGAATTCCTATGAACTTTCGGTGAAATTACCTTTGTTCTGACAAGCTGTTGTGACTGCTTTGGCTCAGGTTTTACTAAACTCAATCGAAAAGCCGTCCTTACGCTGCATGTAGTAGTAAGTCAGCTAAAATTAATTTTGATTTGTCTGAAGGTGGCAGGATGGTCATTGGGTTTCTACTCTCAATGGTTGGATGAGCACACATCAGAGGAAGAGAAACTTGCACTTATTAAGTAAGGGTGTCATTCTGACCAATGAGAAGTTGGTTTATCCATGGGGTAAAATGTTCGTCATAATAATAACTATCGATCAGTCAATAATTTGGTCGGCCTGTCTGGCCGGCCGTTTGGGCGTCTAAGGTTACCCCGTAGTACTTACGACCCACCCAACTGAATGTCCACTTGCTCGTTCGTCTAACTGACCATTCGTCCGTTTATCCAATCCCCTCCCCTCTCCCCCAAACCCGCTTTTGTCTATCTGTCCATCCGTCACTAACTCCTTCTTTCAGTCTGCCTTTTGGTCAGTTAGAATGTGGGACAGCCAGTTAACTCAGACAAGGTGCCAATCTTATTTCAAGCAGTCGGTTGATTACAGGCGTTAACAAGTGTCTTTACCATATTTGACTGTTTATTTGTGATTTGCAGAGGCACACTGGAGGCATACGTTCAGTCGGTCAGATCACGTGGAGAAAAAGAATTTGCACCAGTGTATCCCATCATGCTGAGGATTCTTCAAGCTGCGAGAGCTACACAGGGCTCCTAACACTTTGCTGACTGGAAGAAAAACAAACAAACAGACAGACACGAAAACAACAACAACATAGGAGCCAAAAAATAACGTAGCATATTCCTGGAGTATATTTCCTTACAGCAAGTCTGAGATAGAAGATAGAATTAAGTTATTTTTTATTGTTGGTCGACAAAAAGCAGGGATATGATACTGAGTCCATTGTGTATATAGCGCCTTATGTAGAAGGCACCGAACATCGAACACTTACTCCTTACATTCTTAACCCCTTACACCCTAACATCAGTATGCATATTCTCCATACTGTTCTCTGTACATTTACTAAGGTACTGACAAGGAGAATTTGCCCAACGATCAAGAGTTCCTTTAGTTGGTGATCATTTCCTTCATTCTCATGATATTAATGTATGATTCAGTGGAGATATTGTAAGGAGAAATTAGATGCCAGTCACTCTTGAGGGTTAAAGGGTTTATTAGTTGATACTGTACTTTAATTGGAACACATTCCCTAAATGTTCGTAAGTTCTGTGTAACGCCACCGAATCAATAAAAGGGAAATGGAAAAGGGTTTGGTGGAGAAACGAAGGGTGGTACTCATTTAAGATAGTATGTAGAAAATGAACAGCTATTGTTAGCTACACACTGCTACTTCATGTTTAATTTATTGAGAATATAATATTTAGAAAATTATATAGTCGTAATGTACCGGGAAGAAGCGATTACGTCAAGAATAGCCTTTCCGCGAAGTAAGTGCTGTACCAAAGGGGACTTGGAAAGTATGGCGCTGGAAGGGACTTCTGGAAGGGGACTTGGGAATAATAGGACCTTGGAAAAGAGGGACCTAACAGATACATGGAAAATGGAGACTCAATTGGGGTTTTAAAATATATAAGTAAAAGGAACTTAGAATGAAGGGCCAAGTAAGAGCATAGACAATAGGGACTTGGATGGGGCTTAGAAATCATAGGAACTCAAGAGGGGCTTGAATAAATGGGACCAGTAAGGACCGAACAACAAGGGACTTAGCCTGGGCTTGGGAATTAAGAGGAACTGGGAATTAACGTGGATTGTTGAAAAGGGGATTTGGAAAAGCACCGCTAAAAGTGAAGACGTAGCGTGGAGTCTTGGAAATTTCTGTGAAGATTGAATAAGATTTGACTAAAACAAGATTGTAGTTCTTGGACTTAAAAGCCAATAGAATAAAGGTATTTGATAGAACTCAACTTTAAACCGTCTTTGCACGCGTGGAGAGTTAACAGTTAATGAAATGTTACACAAAACTAACGGCATGCGAAAAGGGAATATTCCGACGGGTTTGCTTGCCCCCCTGGCGCTGGTTCTGCTGAGTACATATTTAACTGAAAAGGAATGTTTGGATCTTGGAGTGTGACCTTGGTATTTTAATTCTGAGGTTAGGATGCAAGCTGAGCCATATGTGAGAGTTTACCCCCTTATTGATACCCTCCTACATTGTAGACGGCAGATCAGATCTTCTTAAGAATTATTTTGCTAAAATAGCACATTCACCCATATTCGTGAGTTTCCTCGCCTAGTATATTCACTATTATACACTACTATACAAACAACGGTGAAGAGGACTTCCTTCCATGATAAAATCTTAAATATTTGTCTGTTTTATCCGGTAATTAACGCAGTTATCAACCAGGGGGTCTTGTGAGGCATATGAAGATATTTACTCACGGCTGAGAGATAAGTCGAAGATAAATGCCGTGAACTCTAAACAAAGAGAAAAAGGAATTTTGACTTAAATGTGCAAAACAATTTCCTCTTGAAAGAAAGTGGGCAAAGTTGATTTCTTTAGCGGTTTTGTGGTTACACCCCCCCTAATGGCACACCCGTAAGGTACGGCGTCCTGTTGTCTGGGACGCCTCTTAAACTTGATTCCTAAATGTTTATTTGGCCGGATATGTATATTAGATATTTACGAAGGTAGAAATTCATCGACAGCACAGTTCTGCAAGTATTTTCTCCTTCAAAGAGTTAGATTTTAGTTGCTAGAGTTTTCAGCTGCAGTGAATATTACTTTACTTTATCTTCACAAAAGATTGCCGAACACCTGAGAGATCTGTATTGTTTGAAATTGTGGTTTTCTCATTTCCGCCTCTATAGATAGAGAATCCTTTGTACAAGATGGTTTGACGCATTGAAGCTACGTGCTCAATGATGAATGGTTTGTCATGTTCATAATTATACAAGGAACATGGTTTCATTGTTTGATTTTATTGCTTCTTTAAGGGAAGAATTTGAATCGGGTGAATCAAGGTCAAACATAATAATGCCTTTGATTGAAACTTCAAGTATGAATAGGGAGAAGAGGGTTTTTTAATCCTTGTTAGTTTATCTGATGGGTTCTCGAGTCACGAACAACTACATTCACTTGTCGCAACTCTTTTATTAACCTTTGACAGGTTTCTGGTTTGTTTACTCGATTGGCTTATGGATGTGTAAAAAGTCACGAATTACGTATATATCTATAGATCTAAAAACTTTGTGGTTCTGTGTATCAGCTTTTTAATTATCTTCTAAGCAATTATTTAGTTGTAACGGAAACATCATTCATGTTTCATCTCGAAATCTATTTATGTGCCTCTCATCGTTAATACTTCGCTAAAACATAAATTGGTTTTCTCTCTCAATTGTTTGACAGTTGAAGAGCGTTTGTAGAGAAATTTTCATCAATGTACTAAATATAATCACATACTGGAAAGTATGATCTTTGTGGGAGACATTTGAAATCAAGGTTTTCCCGATTAAATCGCTTCACAAAGGCTCCTTAAAGGATATTACAGATTACTTTTACAGAAAGGAAACGATTTGAACAAACCTTAATCGTACATATTCCTGCTTATAATTCATCGAATAATAAACATGCTTGTGACGCTTTGCGTAATGATTAATCTTTTTGACGCGTTATGTTTGCTGAAGCAGATGTTTTTCCGGAGCGTTGAGGAAGTCACGTCCAAACTTTAAACACAGTACATTGATGTAGTTGGGCCAACTTTGCGGTTTTGTCGTTTAGGGTGTTTTAGAGCGGGGAGCATGCAAGCCTAAATTGTTAGAAAGCATACGCCTTCCGTTAGTTGATATGTAAGAGATGATAAACAACCCAGGTGGTAGCTTTCAAGCGGTTCTCAGAATTTTTTTCGTTAGGCTAGGAGAGAATCATGATAAGCGCCTAATTGAATTTACTCTGACTTTATCTATGGCTTCTAAATCCACGATTATACCGCTTCTCATTTCGAGCTCCTTGCTCGCTCAGCTCGATTCTTATGCCTACATTCACTGTATTCTGTTCGTACATAGACAGGATTGGTATGAATTAAAGTTTTGGCACCTTCTGGACCACCTCTGGCTCAGTTGGCTCCAACGCAACATTTTTTTCTAACTTGGTCGGAACAAGGTTTCAAAGGGCCGCTCTAAACGAGCCAAACTTGTTGTGTGTGGCCCAGTAGGATGGTTAGAAATTTTCTTCTCAGCACATTGATGAAGCTGTGCCAACTTTGTGGCATTGTCCGATATTGTGTTGTAGAGAAGTAAGCTTACAAGGTCGTCTTGAGAGAATACACATATGCCTTCTGTTAATTAATACGAAAGAGTCGATACACGACTTAGGTGGGCTAATTTCAGTTTTAGCGGTTCTCAGAAAGTTTTCCTCCAAGTTACGAGACGATCATGAAATGCGCTTACTTACGCTTAAGTGAATTTACTCTGTCATTACTTCTGATTCAAGAATCCGAGTTAATGCCTCATCGAGCTTTTTGTTTTTTCAGCGCCATTCTTTCTCTTGGATTCACACTATTCTGTGGTTCTTACCCAGGATTGTTATGAATCAAAGTTTTTTTCAATTACCGGACCACCCGCTCTGGCACAATTGACACCCACGCAACATTTTTCCTCAAGGGCTGCTCTGAACGAGCTAAACTTGTTATTTGTGATTCAGTTGGATGGAAAGAAATTTTCTGCTTCTGTAAATGCGCCAATTGTTCCTTGAAAACATTTCTGTCATGTTTTCTCATGGAAGGATCAAAGTTGAAATAACTGCATCATTGTTTCGCAGTAAGATTTTCGTTAATTTCAGCGAAAGTGAATGTTCCTTAAAGTTAATCATAACCAAAAGCGAGACTGAGTACCACATACGAAAAAATCCCGTTGAATCTTCTCATTCTTGAAGTTTTGTATCTTGAAAGTGTCCCCCACCCCCTCCCCCCACAATTTTCCACAGCAACTGAGAGACAAGGAGCTGTGAGGTTCACATACATTTTTCCATTGGTCGTTAAAAAAGTTATTCGTAAAATAATTTCTGGTAACAACGATGGAAATATGTTAACTGTTGGCCGTAATTGGTCTAAATTTTAATTTTAAACGTCAACCGTAAAAGCCATTGAAACTCTCTTACCGCGTAAGCAGCTGGTTGAAGAAAACACTCCTTTATCTTTGTAAGGTACCGCTTATTCTTATCGATTTTTTTCTCTTTTATTCCCATAAATAAAAATAATTTTCAACACATAAAAGATGTCAAGAACATAACTGACGAAGGGACCAAATAACGACTTGACAAATTGACTCCGATTTCTGCCATTGATGCCAAAGACTTTGCGTCCCACTGGTTAGTCCTAGAATGAGTGACTGCATATTACATTATTACCGTACAGTAACCTTTAAGCCTATGTTCAAATGAGTATCACTCGAATGAATTTTCAGGAGAAATAAACCAGGTATCTATTGTAGAAAAAGGTTTTTTTTTCATGTTCGTCCTTCTTTTCACGGACTGCAAAATATTACTTTTAAAAGTTCTTCACGCTTGTACGAGTTTCACTTAGTCCCGCTGAATTGTGAAGCAAAATTGCGGAACTCTAATGTCCTTGATAATAATTCCGTTTCTAATCATCAATGATAGTTGACGTCAATTAACAACGTCACAGGTTCTCATAGCACGTGGATCTTTTGGAAGTGAGCCCTTTAATGTTCTTTTCATTACTTTAAGTACACGGTTTACCACTAAACGAAAATTTCTCCAAGCAGCCGCGCT